TGTGTGTGCTTGGGGGGGGGGGGAGGGGGGCATCAAAGTAGGTTTTTCAAACTACAGGTATTTCAATAGGATATACAGACTGTTTGGCACACCACGTACACTGTAGTTCCTGTACTTGTATTACTTAATAATATTTATGAAATTAGTCGAAAAATACTGTACTGCATCATTTTGGGTTTCTTCAGCCCCTTACCCCCACCCCCTCCCACGACCCTATACAAATACCTCCTCTGTTTTGTTCATGGGCATAGTGACTGTACCTGAAGGCAGTGCAATTTTTTCAAGTGTCAAGGTCCATGTAGTACTTGTAAGTGGCGCATTTCTGTTAAGCAACATTATATAACATTTCTCTGGATAAGCCTACAAGTGTAAACTTCTTTCCTCGATCTGGAAATTCCAGTTTGTACATGTTACAGCACTGTAAGTAGTAGTACCTGTGTAGTACATGCACATATAGTAGAGATTAAGTGCAGCTTAATCAAAATTTATATATTACACAGCACCAATTTAATTGCATTATATATACTACCTGTGGGACTAATATCTATTCTAGTACATATACTTCCAGGATAGAAAATAACCCCCATTGTGACAGTTACATTGTATTATACTTATTGGAATAAATTATAAGAATTTACTTGTAATTTTAAGATCAGCAAGGGCATATATTACAGGAATTTTTATATAGGTCTTAATTTATGCATGAATCATATTGACATGACATATATATATATATATATATATATATATATATATATATATATATATATATATATATATATATGGGTTTCCACCACTTACATGTGTCATGCCAAAATAGGTACATGTCAAAAATGGACTGAAGTGAGGGTTGGGAAGAGGGGGGCGGGGGGATGACACTGCCCTTTCAACCTGAAAAGGTTCTCCTTGTCAGTCAAAATTATATCTTGGTTTTATGTCTTCTTTCAAGTTGGATCAATTTTAGCTGTAATATGTCCACTTTTCCAGAGAAAGAAACTTCTTATATGCTGGCCACAGGCATGGTCTATACTAGTATATATATATTACAATATAATTTGCAATCTAACATATTACATGTATATGTATGTAAGGGTGTATTCCCAGACATTTAGATCAATCTATCCCCGTGGGGAGTCTCACTAGATTACTGTCAGATAATCCGGCTTAAATGTCCGTCCCGCCTACTACAAGCTGTAAGGGGGTAATTAACTTTCGTGCCCGCTCGGCTGACAGCTATTTATAGTAGCGTGAACCCCCAGGGAGTTAGGTTGATCTAGTTTGGATTGATCTAATCTCTGGGAATGGGGTCTAAATATTGTAGCGTCTTTGTGTCTTATAATCTTCAACTTTCTGTTAATTTGCAGTTCCCACACCATCCAGGAATGCACAATATGGATCTAGGCGGAGACAGCCACACGAGGGTTTCGTATAGAAACAACCCTAACTTCTGTGAGAGGATAGGGCGAAGTTTGGTGGCAATATTGGTTGGAATTGCTGTGATAATTGTTGCAGTTTGTCTGCTTTGGTGGAATGAGGTAAGGGAGATGCACGCGAGCATACTGAATAGTGCAAGGTCTCATGGAGATACATGCAGAGAATTGCTTTTTTCTGATAGCTTTTATTATTGACCCTACCTGCCATTGAATTTTGATGTCAGATGAATTTGGCCTGCTGACAAATAAATAAAATAAAACGAAAAATAACGAATGCATTTAATTGTCACTGATCTTTTGTTAAATTAAACAGGTTTATATTACTGCATTGATTTATTAGCGTGTTGTAATCTGAAGCTAGTGCTAGCTATTAGAAGTTAAAATGATGTTATAATGAGATGTCGTGGAATCAATAGGAAGATTGTCATATTAAGAGGAACTAATGGATAGAAACTCCTTAATTATATCCTTGTAGTGTCTTTATAGTGTAGGGAAAATCTGTAATGAAGTCACTTAATCTATATATCGTAACTTGACTTCTAATGATGATATTACAGGCAGATGTTGCTGAAAATTCCTAATTGATTAGGGATCTGAATGAAAATCATTGACATTAAAAAGCAGATAATATATTTAGTCAATGCTAAAAATCTATAAAATAATGTTTGATGGACTTACAGGATCTGTGTAAATGATAAAGTTAATAGATACTAGCTAAGAGTGGTACCATTCTGTTATAAAAATGACTACATAATTAGTAATTAACACAAAAGAAAGTATAGAAATAAACCCATGAACATCAATGCATATTTGTTTCCACACCATAATAAACAAAAACAAAAAAAAAAATTATTACCCAATTCTCTGTCATTTATGTTCAATATATGATTATGTTGTTATTTAGTTAATATTTAGTTTTCATTTAATATTTTTTTATTCAATTTTTCAGGGGCGAGCAGTCACGACGGCCAGATCTCTGGAGGAAGGACTGGATCGAGTGGTATCGCTGGGTACTATTCATGTTGCATTTGATCAGAATAATGGAAAGCTGGTGCACCTAACTGGGCCTCTTAAGACTGGAAAGGTATGCACATAGGATAAAGCCCATTTTTACATCGAGTGGCACAGTTTTTTGGATCCAGAGATATTTGCTGGCAATCTTCAAAATTATCTTAAGTTTGTTGATCCATACTCCATTTTTGACTGTCTTCTGACAGAAAAAATAGAAACCCATTAATGTAAAATTGACTTTTTAAGAAGACTGGTTTTTTGTCCTGTCAGAGAGCCACATATACAGAGCTCCTGGCTACACACAACATTTAACCCAGTCAACTGAGTTATTTTGATTTGCAAGTTGGGGCGTGTGTAAGGGAGATATATCCCATGTAGCATAATGATCACATATTATAATGACCAGTCAGAGTAGAGGGGGACAGAAAACTATGCCATTTAATGTTAAGTCCACCTCTGTAGAAATCACATTATAAATAAATTAAATATTATTATTATTATTATTATTATTTCCTGTAAATAGGTGTCTTATTTCAATTTTAAATCAATACAGAATTTTAAAGTTCAGCATATTTAGGCATGAATCATATTTAATTTGATTTTTATCCACTAACTCTTTATTTTAATCATACAGTTACTGTAATTGCAGGTTTGTATTGTATACAGTCTCTGTGTATTAAATACATTGTTAAAACTTATTAAGGTAATCTACCAGTATATGCATGGCTTATAACATATGCATATTCCTATGTACTACTAGGTTTTAAGTGATTCTGCATATGGAGTATCTGTGCGTGCAGTAAAGTTGAAAAGACACGTAGAGATGTACCAGTGGGTGGAACATGAACACAGGAGGTAAGCACACTCTTTCATGCACGCACATGCATGTGCATGCGCAATGAACATGTGATCACTTTTCTCACTATAGTGTTACTGTACATGCAATGTTTGTCAAATACTTACAGATATTGCCTAGTACGTTTTTTAATTTCAATTTTATTAGTTATTATATATCTGTTTGGGTTTTTTATTTTAATAACAAATTATTTTCAGTTTGGATGAACACATTTTAGTCTAAAGTCTTATTCTCAGTGAAACTATTGGTCTTGCTACGTAGATTGATCCAACTCGGCATTGACTGTAGCCAAGTGCAATTGGTTAAACCTATAAACGTGCCTGTCATAGGTTCCTGTGCAGCTATGTGGTAGCTTGTCAATACAAGAAGCACCAAGGCCTGGTATGGATGAACAAATGAACAAAAATATCATGAATTAGTGTCTGTAATGTTTTGTTATTTTAATTTCAGGGAAGTGAATGAAGGAGATAAGACCAGAGAAGAAGTCACTTATTCTTACTGTAAGTTTTTGAAAAATAAATAATTTGTAAGACTGGCTGTCTTTATATAATTAATTTACTTGTCCCACTTTTAAAAGTTTAATGTTTGAGATAATTGATTTTAGTTTTGGTTTTCTTAATTTCTGAAACTCATCTGACAATCACTGTACTGGATAGGGGTATACTCCTTACTTATACAAATAACTTGTAATTGAATATTAGGAAACATTTAATCTCCAGAAATGTGACAAAAACTTTAAAGCCTTTTCTTCTTGTAGTCTAGTGTTTAAATGCTAGACTAAAGATATGATTATCATGTATTTGCCTTGATGTCAGTTAAGTTATCTTAAAGGTTTTATTCCTTTTAATTGATGAACAATCTTTGAATTCAGCTAAAGAGTGGAAATCAGAAGTCATTCAAAGTAGCTCTTTTGATAACCCAACAAGACACCATAACCCAAAGTAAGTATTTGAGTCACATGTAATAAAAATCGACTCTTAATGTTGTGAATTTCACAATAATCATGCACTAAAAAATGAAAAATGTACTATTTTGTTAAGTCTGATATTTTTACCAAATTTCAACAAGTTTTAATACATGATGATTACAAACATCATGAAAATTATTGCTTGTCAATGAAATATAATAAGGTGTATTATTAAACTTATGGTTCATAATTTGAACATTTACAGCTCCATGGCAGTAAAACCAAATGTATTTATAGCAGAGGATGCACAGGTCGGGAATTTTTATTTGTCAGAAAGTAAGTATATATATATATATAATCATTTCCTTGCTTTTTCAAAGCTGTGAAAAAAATTCAGAACTGAGACTAATTTTCAAAGCAACATAGATACCACTCAGAGCCAGACATTAAAAGGCTTGCAACCAATAAGACTTTGTTCATCATCTTTAAGTTACTAGCTGGATCGATCTGTGTAATCAGCTTAATCGTCTGGCATGCCCGCTTCAGTAACTAGGGAGTGATGGATATTGTTAATAACCCCCTTGCCGCGTGAGTAGGTGTGCCAGTACACTGAATGCAAGTAAGTTAGAATTCCTACAGTTAGATTGATCCAGCTAGTATGATGGGTTTATGGAAACACTCCCGAAGATCTATGTTGTTTCTTATGCACTGCATGGGCAAATGTTACCTAATTTTCACCATTTTTTGTTGGAAGAAAAAATCATGTCAGTTTTATTCATAGCAGTTTGAAGAAAAAAAAATGCTGATTAAGATCTTTCCCATTTAACTTGAGAATTAACCTGTATTTTCATCTTTCAGATCTGAAGAGTAAAATTACCAATTACAAGCAATTAAAACCACAACATCCTCCACCAGATGGGAGCGTAAAGCTTGTTGATGGAGTATTTTATCATGCGCATGACCCCTTCAATCCACAGGTCAGTTTTTTCCACTGGTAGTCCCTTTCAAAAGTTTGTGACTTGGACAAGCTGTGTTCAGACCTTAGTGTAATTTAAAAATAATAAAAAATAAATAGATAAATAAATAAATAAAAAATCAAAATTAGTTTACACTTCAAAATTATCAGTTGTGCAAATTGTTTAATTTCTTCAGGAATCTCCATGAATCAATTGAGAATTCTGCTTGTGAACTAATTTGCCAATTTCACAGATTTTTCATTTCTTGTTATACACTTTAAAATATATATCCATTTATCAGATTGGTGACATAAAGGTGACGTTTGAGTATGCTGGGGTAAGCAGTGGAGACAGTGCCAGAGCTCCTGACATGGTAGGTGTAACAGTGTGGTGTATAATACTTAGTGTACATTGTGATTTTATTAATTACACAAAGCCTTTATTTTCAAAGATATCACATACGCAAGTCTCAAAGATGTATTAAAATCTGATGTCTCATTTTCTAGGTTAGTATTGTTGCTAGGCAACAGGGCAGTCAGTTGACAAAATATCAGACGGAGGCTGGCGATGTGTTGGAGATTCTATATCTAGGAGAACTCACTGCAGAGGTAAGACTTAATATATATGTATGTATGGGGCCTGGGTGCATGGGAACACACATATGCTGCATATATTAATGAGTCCTTACATGAAGAAATGATATCATCACATAATCCTTACACAAAGGTGAATATAAATAGGCCACCACCCATTCTATACAAGTGTCGTGAATATTGATATCAGCATGGTAACAAATATATAATAATAGCAATTTAATTTAATTCGGCACATAAATGTTATATTGCAGTACCAAATTGAATGTAAAAAATTGCTGTCATTTGATTTGGTTTGAGAATCAATTTTTTGGGTATGTTCGACTTTTATGTTTGTGATTTTGAAATGTACTATGGGTAGAAAAATGATTTATCTGAATTGTAACATTATATAAATAATCTTGGCTAAAGATAATACTTTGTAGGTAAGTTATCAACATGTAGAACTTGCATTTTGCATATTGAATTAAGTCTTTAAATCTTTTACTTTTTATTCTTACTGATGATGATGCATGTCCCTAGCTCTTGGCAACTTCAGTCAGTCTGTTGAAGAAACAAGTAGAACTGTTCTCAGTCATGTAATCTTCCATGCAGATTACTTTAATTTGGATTATTCAAGTGCAGGTTATTTAACAAGATTGAGAAAAGTTCCACCTGTATTCTCAGTAGACCGACTGAAGATAAAGAGAACCATCACTGTCGATTAGACTAGAAGAAAATTGTAATTTATAGATTAAAAATCTTTTAACATAGGATAACAATTTTTTAGCAAATATAAAGTAAAGAACTTGCTCAAATTCTCATTTTAACTTTACTAAGGTGTTGTGATAATGGAATATTATGTTTTTAGATTGATTATTACCAACATGAGCTTTACAGTTACTGTATTACTTGTCAATAAAGATTTAGTGAATTTTAATAATTTTTTCTAGGAAATATTTGAAAAAGAACATGCGCAGAATAACATCTTCACCTGGCTCCTGAGGCTGGCGGGATGGTTTGTCATGTTTGTGGGATTTGGATTATCCACCAGTATTATAAACACATTAGGTAAGATGAACTGATATGCCTCTGTCTCTGTGACCACTGATGATTTTTATTGTTTCACTAATAATAAGTTAATAAAATTCATATAAAATTTGGGTTTCACAATTGAATTTCAGCACAAATATAGGTTCTCTAAACTAGCTTTGACATCAAAAATCAGTTCCACTTCAGTTCAAGATTTAAGGAGTAAATTAATAAATTATTTTATTAAATTAATATTTATTAACTTAATAGTTAGTTAATGTCTTCCATGTTATAAACTGGCAATAAAATTATGTAATATTCAAACATGCATTCTTGATATAATTTAATTGGACTGATTTAACTTGGGTAAAAGAATTTGAGTCTTAAAGTTAAGACCAATATGAAATTTTGGGCTAAAGTTCTTCTGCAAATAAACCCCCTACACACCAATTAATTAATGAGATATTATTTCCTTATTTTCATTTATAGTGGACTGGATCCCTATTGTACGAGAGCTGGTTGGACTGGGCATGTGCACCTTAAACATGACGATGTCCATGAGCCTGTCCATCACAGTGATTGCCCTGGGCTGGATAAGGTACAGACCCTGGTTTGGGTTCAGTATTCTGGCCTGTGCCATGATTCCAGTGCTCCTGTCCAAATACAGGGTATCAAGTCTAAATTCTAGAGACAGAAGGCTGTAGGGGTGATATGTGTTTGGAATGCGTTAGTTGTGACAACCGGTCAGGTGTGACAGTGTGTCGGTTGTGCCAGTTGTGGCAATTTAAAATCAGTTGATGTTTGCATTGCATTTTTAATGTTCTAGCAGTTGTCATGTATTAGATTCCTATGTGATACAGGGTATGTCACCCATTGATTTGTCCCGTCCTAAATTTTGACCTGTTAATGTCATGCAGACTCTCAGTTTCATTACACTAATACTGTAGTTGTCTCAAAAAAGATTTCATCAGAGGGGGAAACTTTAACTGAAACAAAGAAGCATATTCAAATGTGTTAGCAGTTATATTGTGTTGGACTTAAGAATGTGATTAGGAGAAAAAAGGATATTTAGGGTAAAAAGTTTTCATTACAGAAGTCTACAGTGAATAATTTTTTAATGTCATGTGATATAAAAGACAGGTTGGAGGAGACATTTGAAATCAAAACTTCATTACTAAGGAGTGGTTGCTTTGTGAGATGTAATTATTATAAAATTTTGAGGATGGACAAAAAGTTACAATGAGATTGGCAGTGTTGTGTGAGATAAAAATTGACATCAGTTTGATTGTTATGAGTATTAGACGAATGCAAATATATTAGTAAATGAAAAGTTCCCAGAATAAGGACTTGCGGTTACTTGCATATATAAGTATGTCCCAATTATACTGAAACTGCTATCAAGGGCGTTTGATATGTCTCTAATAAAACTTTTGCTCAAGAATAATATTCTGCATGAAGAAATGCATGGAATTGAGGTATAAATATTGATGCTTATTACTATGAATTTTCATGATTTTCAATTTAAGGAAACAGTTGTACATAATTTTCAGGTTTTATTTGTACTTCATACTGCCCAATTTGCTACTCGACATGTTTCTAGTGGTATGATATACTTAACAGACAAAAAAATTATTGATACCAGTAAATTTGAAACTGTAATGATAACTTAACTCGAAATTTGTTTTACTTTAGATATGATATTTTCACCTTCATGACTGTCATATTAATTATCCATGAAGATGTACATAGTTATAACTTTAAGTTTACTTAGTTGGTTTTTAATTTATTTTGACTTTCATTTTAATCAGAGGGTGGTGCACAGCCATTGCTTTCACTTATAACTGTTTATAATAATTTCATATAATTATCTATACATTGTATAATTGTGAATTGTTGTTACTGATAAGTACATGACTCACTTAAAGGGATTAGATGATATTCACATTTTATTAAATATATAAAATGAAAGACATATCAGGAAGTTGGTTCACAATGGGCCAAGATGTACACTTAGCGCGCATTCAGAACAGCGCACTAACAGATTCGCGGATCAAATATGACGACCCACTAAAAAATTTGTTGCTTTTAAAATTCCTGTTTAGACACTGAAAAGATTCCCTTGGGATTATGCAACAAGCATTCAAGCAGGTGGGCCATATTTAATCTGTGTATCTGTTAGTTCGCTGTTCTAAATGTGCTCAGACAGCATGGCAGGATCCAGTTTGGATAAATCATAGGCAGATCCTTGAAACCCTGATATAAATATTTCATACGTGTTTATGCTGCATTAAGTCATATTTTAAAAAGGGAGTTCATATTGACCCTTACAGTGTTTTTGTTAATTATTTTTATGTATTATGTTGTTTATTAGTATATAATATCCAAAGTCTAGTTGTTGGAAATTGTTCTGTTGCATGAATGTTTGCATTGTACCATGTTGACAGTGTTTCTAACAATATTTGTTTATTCAAGACATTGTCAAGAAAAGCTTTAAATAATTGTTTATGCTACCTTATGCACTAAAACTGTTGAAAATGTACATTAATGACACAATTTGATGGCCCAAAGTTACATTACAACAAAACAAGACTGCTAAGCACATTTTTTTACAAGTATAACTTACAGTTAAGATGGATTTTTGTGCAACTTTCCCTTAAAATGGCTGGATGCAGTCCAGTAAATAAATAAAAGGGATATTTTCTTTCATAGTACACTGTGTCCTTCAGTATATATATATGTCTACTAAAAGCTGGTATTGCGTAGTTATTCACAGATCATTTAATTTATTTATGTTTAAATGTGGGTTATATATAATAAATAGATTACAGAACTTTGGATGAATTGTGCTGGATATAAAATGTTGCATTCTAACCACAGTGGGAATACTATAGGACAAATATCATATTTATGTTATAGCTTTTCATGCCAAAGATGTTCTAATTTGTGGAAGTCAGATTACGTTCCAAAGTCGTATTCTGTGCTATGGGTAATTATTGTTATTATTGTATTCAAACAATGTAAGTTAACGTGTTTTAATATAATGTTACCAGATTAGCATAAGGAGAAAAACAATAATTGAAAGTGGAATTTGGTGGAAATTGTTTCTTTAAAAATTTTTAATGGCTCTCATTATATTAGACTTACACAGATTAGGTATGGAGAGTAAAACTATTTTTTTTAAATTTGTTTCAATTTGTTTAAATTTATATTTTTAAATCCTATAAGTTTCATTTTATAGAGGTGCATATTACAAGACAATCCAATGACATGATCTTTAATTTCCAGTTGTAAATATAATTTCTTTTAGTTCTTGGGTTTTAAGGACAATTAATAAAGCTCATTTTCCCCTGACAAGTTCCAAAAGTGTGATTTAGTAGATAAAAACAATTAAAATCGGTTAAACTATGCAGTGAGACAAACATTATGTCTGAATCACAATTATACTGAAACTTAAACATTTTTGTACTGTTTTCTGTTCCAAATATCAGGATATCATTAATTATTTATCAGGCAAAATGATATTTGAACAGGTATTGTCTGCTTACTTTCTGTGCTGTAAAAAACTGGGGTAGACAAGTATATGTTGGTCAGATAAGTAGGTCAATTTATGACCAAAAATTTAAAGAAAGTTCAGTTTTGAAGCTCTTTTACGGCTGAGATTATCCCTTGGCACGTCAACTTCATTTGAGTCATATTAGAAACTATTGGAAGTGGTTTGTATGCCTTACTGGGAAACAAAACTCACTTTCTTTAAACAACGGTTGCTGTCAGTAGTATCACCTTTAATAATATTTCAATATCAAATTCACAATTAAATTAACCCAAATGTTCTTCATAAAATAAAGGAAAAAACTAACTGAAATCAATTTATTGTGAAATCAAGAAAATTTTAAGAAAAGCATAACTACAAACCCTGAATATGACAAAAATCATTTTCAAAATGATATAAACAGAAAAAGTTTGCCTTGTTAGACATTTTTTAAAACTTAAAGGAAGCCCTGCTTTTAAAGTCAGGCATATGCCGAAAACAAAATATTACTTGAGTGGGAAAGGGGTGGGGGGACAACAAAAATATGTCAACAAAAATACAAATTTATCTTCTTTCAAAAGGACAGTCATATGGCACTGTGGATGTTTATATATACACATACCAAAATAAAGAAAAAATGGGCATTGCAGTCTCATTGTAGTTTAAATGAGAAAATCAATTACAGTAACAGCTAAAACTTAAAGCCGCCTCAGATAAGTAGAACCTCTATTCGACTTACTACAAAAACAAAATCATGAAAATGAAAGCATCCAGGAACATTTGACTTTGAAAGAAAAAATGCAGGATGGACTGAAACATATGGCTGAAAAAATTTGTACAATTATGGGAACAGTCCAAGTTTTTAAAAAAATCATACAAAATCTTGATCGTGGATAATTCTAGAATACTTAATAGACAATTACATTAATCATTAGAACATACATACAAAATGTACATATAGCATCATGCAAATATCTGAAAGAAATCATGATATGGTAAACTTTCATGATTTTTATGCAACAACAACAACAACAGTGAACTTATCCTCCCTCAGTTCTTATTGCAGACTTGCCATTTGTGATTGCATTCAAAATCTCATTACTTTTCTCTGTCTTTTATCATACACATACTACATGTAAGTTAAATCTCACATTAAATGCATTTATAACATATATCACAATAAGAAGAACCAAAACATTCATTTTTAACACAATGTACGCACTAAGCTAACACTGAATACTAATGCGTAGCTCCAAATTGTATGTACTATACATATTATTATATACATATTACATATAAAGACTTTTTCAAACAAATCAAAAGTATAAGCCAAAACATTTACCTCGCTTAAAAGTCTTTCACCATATATTTCATCTTTTTTTTCAGCTGAAACATCAAAGGGCAGTTTCATCCAATAGCAAAATGCTTTTTTATTCTTTTGACTGTCACATCTAAAGCCTTATTTTCTCCAAACAATCAGTGCATACAGTCATTTCACAATCTACCAACATCATGCTGGGTTAATTTAACACCAAAACAGATTAAGCTACACAATGAGATATTTCAATGCTAAATATTAAATGCACCAATCCATCCATTTAGGTCTAAAAAAAAAAAAAAAAATGCTGATGTAACTGTTACTGCACTAATCTAAAGAGTGTCAGATTAGCTCTATCTGCCCTAAATGCCTCTTTCAGCAGTAATTCTGACAGGGTAACATCTTTCCTATATCAGGCCCATAGCCAGCAATTTCAAAAGGGGGTTCTTTTTCTGAAAAAGCGGACCTTTTACCATGAAACCTTCATATACTTAGATAACACTTTACCCAAAGGCCACCTTTTCTGGCTAATTAAAAGGTCGTCGCTAGCTACAGACCTGCTGTGTACACAAATATGCAATTAACACGCACACTTTTTGCACAGTCACATAATATTGCAAATATTAGGGCCTTTTCACATCCAGAGACACGAATTTCTGGACTGTTTCTGCTTGAGACTTTGGCAACTTAATATACTGACTATTATTATAAAAATCACCTGGCACTCAACTACACCAGTTTAATTGATAAATTGGGTCTTGTAAAAACAGAGTACACCCCCCCTTCTCATTGCAGAATTACATGTTAGTACCACTCAAACTTGTGTGGTACAGAATACTGCATTGCTTGACATGATAAGTGCTTTCAGGTGTCTTAATATCAGTTTATTCTATAATATCAATGGGTGTATTTTGGCAGTTTCAGATAACTTCAACATTTTTCTGTCTTAAGTTAATTGCCAAAATCCTGATCAAATCACTTGATCTTTGTCAGGTCATTCTGACAAAAAAAAAAAAAAGAAAAAAAAAGCGACTGGTTTCAACAATCTTTTAAAAACCTCATTTCTTCACACTCATGCCTGCTTTTTCCTGTCCATTAATAATTCCCATTATGTCTTCCACTACATCATATCTCTCCATCCATGGCAGTTGAAGGATATCAATAAGATTCTGAACAGTGTCATGGGTGGTATTGCCCCAGTCGGTGAGGAGCATGCGGCATGGATCACGTTGCTGCTCGTACAATGAGACTTCCATTGGAGTTTTGCCAAGTTCACCTAAAAGAGAATATTGATGTACTCTGTAATTATCTGACTGATGAAAACTTCATGTCTGTCATTTGATATTTAAATTTATTCATTAGGAGGTTACATAAAAACTAATAAAAAAGGTTTATAGCCAGATAAATGAGATAAGCAGGCTTTAATGTACAATGTATGCAATAAAAACTCGGAAATGAGATTTAATCCGTTTCATGGTGTGTGTGTGGAGGGAATTAGGACAGCTTGCTTTTTAGTGTGGTCAGCCATATTTAGTCCTCGGATCATCTGTTCTGAATGCACCTTGGACTGTGCCCTTACCCAGCATTATCAAACAAGGTCTAAGTTATAGTAATACAGATCTAGGGCACTATAAGTTGGTATCTAGGACTGTGCCCTTACCCAGCATTATCAAACAAGGTCTAAGTTATAGTAATACAGATCTAGGGCACTATAAGGTGGTATCTTGGACTGTTCCCATATCCAGCATTATCAAACAAGGTCAAAGTTATAGTAATACAGATCTAGGGCCCTATAAGGTGGTATCTTGGACTATTCCCATTACAAGGACTCATAACAAGTCTCCCTTATAGCAATACAGATCTAGGGCCCTGTGATATGGTAGCAGTGCCCCCCCCCATACTTACCTGCCACTCCTTTCCAGTCTCTATCACCCAGGACAGGGATGCTTAACCTATTACATATCACTGACCACAGGTCGTAAGGCATGTCTCGGATCCTGGTGTCCAGGGTGACCACCTTCTTTCCAAAGGGGGTCGTGCTGACCAGGCTGGCTGGGCTCTGAATATACAATTATATATATTCTAATTGTTAAAAATAACAATAAATACAATAATAATAGGAACAAGAAGAAGAAAAGAAGGAGAAAAAGAAAAGTGTATTAAAGTGTATTAAAATCACAGCGACTGAAATACTGACGTTAGGTAAATATATTATTGGGAATAAACATTAAAATAAACTTATTATCGTATCATATTTATTTGTCAGTAATTTACTTGTATTTCTGGTATGGGAGTTAACCCTCTCGGCAAAGGGCCCTACAGTGTATAACACCATAATCACTCCACATAAGAACTGCACAGCTGATCAACTTCATATGGTTTTAAAAGAGCTGAAATTGCCTGCTTTTACACTCTGAGTCATTAAAAACTCTCCTCCAATTAATCTCAAATTAACAAAACTTATCACTTACAGCTAAAGACATGCCAAGAACTTCACTCCCGCGCAGCCATATCTTCACATCTTCATGGCAGTCCACCTGCTCCGCACCACAGAAAATGGGAACTTCTGACTGGTGGAAAATGTCCAGAACATGAGGGGCATCACTGTGGGTCTTCATGCTGCACTCTGCTGCAGGGCAGAGAGGACCACACTGGAAGCTGAGATCAACCACAGGGTGCAAGGAGGTGAAGTCACACAGAAGTTTCCTCAGATAATCAAGGAAATCTGGAAGCTGTACCGTCTTCATTGTTGGCCTAATTTGAATTAATAATAATAAAATATTATTTACATTTATATATATATATATATATACACACACACTTATGAAATGCATAATTTTGGCATCATCTGTATCATCTATTAAGTCCAAGTGTTATGGATTCCACTATATTCAATTACACCAAAACCATGATTACTGCATTTCTTCTTCACTGAAATGTATTGTATTTAGAGCATCTATAAAAAAGTTGAATTCTATACATGTATATTCCATTAGACCAATGCACGTACATATCCTGAAAAATAGGGATTGGCCTAGTAAATTAAGTTATCAATTCCGTCTGCCCTTTTAACAGTAACACAATTAACACATTCATTTACCTGACAAATATCCTGGCTAAACTATACAGCCTGTCAAGATGTATGCTGTACTGGAAGCCACCTCCAATAAACATCCCAGACACCACGCTTTGGATGCAACCTTGACCTTGAGGAAGACCTTGAACTTGACCTTTGCAGTAGCCTTGACCTTTCAAACAAGCTTCCCTAAAGTGCAGGAGAAGTACCAAGAAGACCGGTTGAGGTAGATGGCCATTGAAATCCAGGTAAATTTCCTGGAATTCGTGGCTGGCTGGAAGGTGGGGTTCTGCAAACTGAGCTAGGTGTGCGGGTATACAATACATCTTCTGCTTTGCACCTGAAGTTGACAGCTCGGTGGTTCCAAAAATAAAATGCATCAGTTCAAGAAATGCCAAATGCTCTGAAAAATCTGCTGAGTTGCAGAAAATTGCCTTGTGCAGAAATTCCCCTGGAACAATCCCAGTGTTATCAAGTTGCTGCCACGTTTTACGCAGCTGGGGAGACTGCTCGCTCTTGGGTGGAATCGTCAGCAGCTTGTCGATAATGGGGACGAGTTGATGCTGATTGATGAGGACAAACATGTCCAATATAGGACTATGGCAAAGAGGTGTGGGATAGAAGTCTGAAAATAAAATTAATGTTCATCATGGGTTTTTGAGTTGCTGAACTTGTATGTAAGAATTATATTTTATTATACATAACTGCAGGCACAAATGGCAAAAATGTGCTTGAAGGCAAGTTTCATGTCTATCCTGGTCTTTACATAGTGAATGGTCTCAGATTGCAACTGCAACATCAGTCAGTTGCCAACGTAAGTTTTACCATAAATTTATTCTACTGGATGACTCAAAACATTCACTCGTGACAAGAAGCTTTACAATTTTCTGCACTCTTCCATTCTGATAGCTATATATAGATTGCTAACTTTTTGCAAATAGCTATGGCATGACGAACAATAAATCTTGCAGTTAACACATAATGATGAAATTGGCATTTGTTTCTACTGTACATTACTGCCAGTAAATGCGAGAGCACAAAAAAAAAAAAAAAAAAATCTGATCTAAGGTCATGGAAAACGCTTATGACTCACTCTTCACAATAATGTCTCCTGAGTTGTGCAGATATTCCAGTACCATTTGGAAATCTTTTTCTGTACATTTCTGCCACACGTCCTTCACTGCAGACTGTAACTGGTTTAAAGTCCTCACAAGTTCTCCACCCTCGGAATACAGGCTATTTCTGACCACAACAGCACCCAGAGGATATTTCACTTTCATAAATGGCTGGGCGATACACAGGGTGAAGATCCTATCTCGCAGTTGTGATATGTCGGACAAGATGGCGGAGGGGCTCTGTTCTGTATTGTCGCACAGTGTGAACAATGGTAGATCGCTTTCCTTGTTGTAGACCAGGTGACTGTAATACGCCCTTCTGAAATGCTGTTCAAGGTTACTCCCCATTTTAAGGAGCAAGTCCTTGGATATGCTGGTATCTTTGCTGACGGTGGCTACAAGAAATACAGGCACCACTGATCCTGCATATGTTCTTATTTTGACGAGATCATTCTGCAAACTGCACAGTACATCCTCTGGACTTTTCACATACTTCTCAACACAGAATGTCAGCAGATACAGAGCATGCTTACAGAATACTATGTGGGAAGTCAGCCTGGCTAACCTACTGTCTTGTTTCATTGACATCACTTTCACGTGAGCCACAAGCTTTGGCTTCTCCTCCAAAAGACATTGTCCGATATTTTTTACAGGGATACCCCTTTCTACCCACTTCAAGTGTGTGAGCTTCTGTCCAAGTATAGCAAGGTGGTCAGCAATAGCTGGACGCTGCTCTAACTTTTCAGCCATGTGCGCTGCAAGGTACTGATTGTCAAACTCTTTTGTCGTGTCTTCTGACATGCAATGCATGCGCAGTGGTGCCCCGCTCCGTGGAATGGCGATATCGTACTGATTGTAGAGCTGGTGCCTCACACTGGGTGCCACATCTCTGTTCACCCCTAGCACCATTCTGGCCACGGAATCGCTAGGATTTCCACACACAATTAATCTCAAGTGTGGAGATATCTCCATGTCATCTCTGATTGCCTTAGTGATCACTCTCTTGATAAATAATCTTGTTTTTGTTGAACTATCCTTACGTTTGACTGAATAAATGCTGCTCGTCTCTGAGACTGTTTGTCGTCTGCCTTTGCTGTAAAAACTGCAAGAAGTGAAGAATCTTAATGGGTCTGATCTCTGTCTTCTGTGAATCTTTACCAACCTCCCTTTGGTCAGAGTTGCTTCCTTTCTGGGACGAGGGGAATTCATTAAACCTTTTCTTGACTGTGGCATCATATTATCAGACTGAGTCCAGAAGTCACTACACCTTCCTTCTTCACTGTGCGAACTGCTCTCTAAACTTTCCAGTTCATAACTTCCCGAACTTACAGCAGTGGGACTTTCTAACTGCCCAGGCCCACCTACTCCTCTCGCGGTCAGCGAACTGGCCCTGCAGTTTAAATGATTAGAAGACTGACCAGTGTAAGTACAACCTCTGTCCCTCTCAGGGGTTGACTCTTTTGACCTCTGACCCCTCTCCTTTGACCCATGGCCTCTCTTGGTGACCTTGACCCTTGCTGGTCTTTGTATTACCAGTTTGACATTGTCGTCATCACCCGATTCTGTAAGTTTTTTGATGCGTTGAACATGATGGATGCCACTCATGTCCTAAAACATAAAATATAGACTTAGTCTATTAGTTGATTCATTAGAAGTTAAAAATACATATCATGAAATAATTGATATGTATTACTATTCCTTGCAAAATATAATATAAATTTGATGACTTTAAAAAAAGTGCATTTGAATATATATCATAGTTTAACACATTCATGAGGTGTGATCGTTCATAAAGAAATTATTAATTATTTCAAAAATGATAATTAAAAAAATTAAAAATTAAGGCAGCGCTGCAAATGTATAGAGAAAATGGCAGAAAAATGCTTGAAAAACAAGGACATTCATAAACATACAATGAAAATGTTATACAAAAAAAAAAAAAAAAAAAAAAAAA